CCCCCCCCCTTCCAATCAGCTCGCGTTTAGATTATCTCGGCTCGTTACGAACAACACCTCGGCGACCACCACTTTCCCCACCGGTAAGCAGGCGAGCAGAGAGTCGGACAGGCAGACAAACAGACAGCCAGACGCGGGCCCGGGAAACGCCTGGGAGGTAGGCACTCCAGCACGCCTGGCGTGCCCGGCGGGCTGGCCTACGCTCCGCCCGCCGGGCGCTCTGCTGCTCTGCACCGTGTCCACAGCGTAGCTCAGCCCCGGCCCACGCTGTGATAAAAAATACCTAAGCACGCGCTAACGTGGAAACAGATGATAGGCCTTATCTTTTGATGAATTTACGTTTCAGTTTTTAACATGTCAAAAATACCTGTAGGAATTTAAGAAAAGCCATTTGATACTGAAAGTATCATCTGCTCTAACAAGCGGGCCCACCCTTCCGCCAAACGAAGTTGCCAGCTTCACTTCGCTCCGCAGGCAACTCCGTTCGGCCGGCACGGGCCGGGCCTGCTTGGCCTACCGGCGGCGATCTGTTGGGCCTGCGCGGCCCGACATATAAGTCACTATGAATATATCGAACAAACTCAGGCTGCCGGGGGAGCCTGCGGCCCTTAAGATTAGCCCCTTGCACACGAGAAAAGACTGTAACGGTGCGACACTGTGACTACAACCCACCCTTCTGCTTTGGGAATGAATAAAAAAACTAACAAGCGCAATTTTCAGCTTGTATTGTTTTTCTAACATTCTTAAAATTAGACTTGTTGCGATTGTTTTAAGAATATCAACCTCTTCCTCTGAAACGATTGAAGATACGACAACTCCATGGACTGATTCAGATTCAGGACGTTTTGTTTTCGATATTATTTCCTCAGTCATTTTTCGATTTGAGGCCTTCTTGTACGTCTTCATGTACAACGTGGTCATTTTCACAACAGTTTTCGTCGAAAAAGCACCTCCTGCGCCCAAACGGTAAACGGACAAAATTTTAGCCAAAAGGATTCTAGTCTTCGGAGATCATAAAAAAATAAATTCTCACTTTCTTGGACTCCTCCTTTTTCTTTGATAGCATCTTTCAGGCCCTTACGGGTAGTTGCCAGGATTTGTCGTAGGCGTTTCGTTTTCTAGGAGTGAACCTCAAGATACCCTGATAATTTAGAATCTCTAGCACATCTTCTTCTAATGGAACAGACACAGACAGACTTTAGCAGAAAGCCATAGCTTTTCTGAAGCAGAATGGCGGGCTAAAAAACCTGTTGGCGTACATATGGAGGAATTATTATCATTATTTATTATTATTATTGTCCCTGTTTATGCTATGCAGGGTACATAAGTCTATGATATATTAAGGAAATGTCAATAGCGGTCCGAGAGTGCGCGCTGGGCGCCTCGGGCGGGGGTGCGGCGGTGGTGG